TAATACTTAGTCCATAGGCACACACCTGATCATCTGATCATCTACATTTGCCTTCTTACAGCACTAAACTATGTTTTCTACCTTTATCTTGCATCTACCTACCACTTCAGCATTTTATTAAAAATAAAAATAATAATAATAATAGGAGAAATGTGGGATCAACATATAAATCAAGTACAAAAATCAAATGAATATTCATATTTGACCTGATGGTTTATAGGTCATATTGCATGATCAAAACCGAAAGTTTCTGTGATGAATGCCCTTGTACTGTTCACCATGTACGAATTTATTCACTATGTAAGAATTCGTTCACCATGTAAGAACTTGTTCGTTATGCTTCATAAGATTGGAGACTGACGAGAATTAGGCTTGAGATGGATTAATGATTGTACATTGAGCGTTGACCCCCCTATACTGAATTTTATTGTTGTTAACAACCATTTGATCAATAAATATGAGAGATGCCCTCTCAAAAAAAATAATCTTTGATTGAGATTTTGATAGAGAAGAGGGCTATTATGATCAGAAAGAATTACACTAGAACACATTTAGAGGAAAAATATAAACAGGTTTAAGAAGAGATAGTTTACTTTGGCTGAAGTTACTTGGTTTAATAAGTTAACATAAAAGGTTGCTTATAGCTGAGACAAAAAAGAGTAGGTTAGGGCCAGACCATCAAGCATCCTGAATACCAAATTGTAGAGTTTGAACTTGTTTCCCATACACAGGGAAACATCACTGCAAGTTCCTAAGCAAGAGAGAAACATGATCCAAGCACTACTTTGGGAAGGTTAATCTATGTGAGGATGTGTACCAAATTAAAAATAAAAAGACAACAGAAGAAGGGAAGACACTAGAAGACAAGATAGAATAATAGAAAAATGACAGAATAAGGGCCTGAAAGAGAACAGATAGTTTTCAGGAAAAAAAATTGAATAAAGAATCAACAGTCTTGACAATTAACTACCTGGATGGGAATAAAAAAATGGAGTGAAAAATGAGTCTCAGATTCAAATATAGATGCATGAAGAAAGAAGAGAACCATTATCAAAGAGAAAACGGGAAGAGTTGCTTTATAAGGGAAATAAATGAGTTCGATTTATACATGCGAAGTTTATGGTACCAACAGAAATCCAACAGTTATTCATTTATTCAAAAAAGTTATTACATCACTACTCTTTTGGGCCAGGCACTATGGTAAGTGTTAAATCTGTCCTGGGAAACCAAACAGGTATGAGTGCTGCCTTTGTGAAACTTAAAATCTATTGGAGGAAACTGTCAATAAACAAGTTAACAAATATATAATTTTAAGTAGCCGTTAAGAGCTATGAAGGAAATAAATGGAGTTGAGTGATAGAAAATAATGGTGAAGTCCTAAGGAGGGCAAAGAAGCCCACTCTGGCTAAGACCTACAGACAAGAAGGACCTAATCATGAGAAGACAAGTGGAAAAACATTTCAGGCCAAGGAAAGAGAGCATGTATATTCACGGGAGGTGGGAAGAGTTTGGCACATTCTAGGAACTGAAAGAAAGAAGCAAGTGATCTGAGATGAAACCCTTCTAGTACACAAGGTCTCACAGGCCAAGGTAAAAAGGCTGCACTTGAACGAAAGAGCAGTGAGAAGTCACTGAAGTGTCACAAGCAAGCTATAATGTGCCCTGGCTGCTGGGTGGCCTACAGACTGGAGGGGCACACGGGAAGTGCACAGCAAAGTAAGGAAGCTTCTGCAGTGGTTGAGAGAAGGTGATGGTTTATACTGGAGTGGTCAATAAAGAGGAAAAAGAGTAAATGGATTTATGAGGTTATGGAGGCTAAAACAACAGGTTTTGCTTATGGATTGGATACTGGAGGAAAGGAGAAAGAAAGGAATCCAGAAGACTCAATGGTTTCTTACATGAAAAATGGGTGATGGTACCACTTAAGTGAGGAGGCCTGAGGGAGTTTTGTTTCAGGGAAGAGGTCATGATTCAACAGTTTCGTTTAAAACTTGTTAAGTTGGTGATATCCTAAGATATACTAAAAAAAGAGAGGTCAAGTACACATGAAAAGTTGCTCCACATCGCTTGTCATCAGAGAAATGCAAATTAAAACAATGAGATATCACCTCACACCAGTAAGGATCGCCACCATCCAAAAGACAAAGAACAACAAATGCTGGTGAGGTTGCGGGGAAAGGGGAACCCTCCTACACTGCTGGTGGGAATGTAAACTAGTTCAACCATTGTGGAAAGCAGTATGGAGGTTCCTCAAAAAGCTCAAAATAGAAATACCATTTGACCCAGGAATTCCACTTCTAGGAATTTACCCTAAGAATGCAGCAGCCCAGTTTGAAAAAGACAGATGCACCCCTATGTTTATCGCAGCACTATTTACAATAGCCAAGAAATGGAAGCAACCTAANGTAAATACATTTTACTTAACAATTGTTTCAAATTATTTCCTCACTTCACGTAATTTGAAGCTCCTTTACAAGCCCGATTTTAGAAGGACTGAGACAGTTTGCCGATTTACTGAAGGTTTATGCAGTGAATGAGAAGTCGGGAAAGAAAGGTGGCCCAGAAAATGAAGAATCATGGATCTAAATCTTTATTGCTGCCAATTAATGATGTTGGGAGAGTTTGTAAAGTTTGTATTTGTAAAATGGATAGAATGGTACCTTTTTATTCCCTTGAGGGAAGTCATCAAGTGTTAGAGTCTAACATAGACAGATGAAAATCTACATAATATATAAATGTTAATATAACTACAGTGATTGCTACAATGGGTTGATAATGAGATGAAGGAAAACTTCTAGAGATAAGCTTTAAGTTGAATTTTGTTAGCATAATTTGTTTCTAAGCAAGTATAAAGCAGTAAGTTTTACCATGTATAGGTACTAGAGGATATACTTTTGCTTTTATTTCCTCCTTTAGAGGCTTAACTGCCAACTTTCAACTTTTGCTGTAGTTATCAACTATACTATCAAAGGAGTAAAGAATGAAATAAATAAAGCTTATTTATTAAAAGTTACTTTCATTTTAACAAGCAGAGTGTTTCTGTGGTAAACACTTGACATACTTTATAAAATTTTCACTGGGAACATGATGTGTGAGAAAGAGCCTTGACCCTTTTAAGTCAAGAGATGAGGATCTACATCTAGCTGTCACAAGCTAGCTTTGTGCTACTGACTTACCTCTTTAAGACTACATTTTCTGTAAGAGGAACAGGATTGACTAGGTGATCTCTAATAACTTACGTTCTAAAATTTTAAGTGGCTCAAGAAATTTGATGGAAAGTAAGGGTTTCTTTTTTTCTTGGATTTTTTTTTCACATTATACTGTTAATGAATGTAAAATCATTATGTAATTGGAGGTTATTAGCCAATCTTTTTGCCAAGTTACAACATGAGGCCATGTCTATATGTTGAATAAGACTATAGTTTGAATAATTTAATAATTTATGCTCATTTCTGATATGTGTATATATATATATATATATATATATATATGTTAGAGAAGTAGAGAAAGCGAGATCCAGAAGGGGAGACATCAGTAGACAATGACCAAAAAATTGAAGTCTCTGAAAAGGAGAGAAAAGGGGCCGAATTTAGATAACTAGGGACAGTTTGGAGATAAATTAGTGATAAGTGTATAGAAATTAAACCAACAAAACAAAAAAATACAATTGTTAACACCAAGGAAAATAAAAAGATATGGAAGAAAGAAGATATGAATAGCATTTACATGATTAATATAAATGTAAACAATGAATACTGATCTTACCAAAGTTGATATAATTATACAAAAATGATGGGAGATAGAAAGTATGTAAGTGGATGAGGGATGGTAGGAATCAGAAAAGATCACAAAAATTCTAATCTTCATTTATGGTGGAAAGAAAATAATAATCCTAACGAACTATGATACAGGCATGTTATTTAGAAAGATGAAAATAAAACTGCTGCAAAGTTAAAAATGATCACTTTGGAGAAATGGGAAATGAGTCAGTGGCTGCAGGGCAAGGGGCAATTCCCAGGTGAAGATTGTTTTTAATAAGCCTTATTGAACTGTTTGGTTTTTTTTTTTTACTATATTATATAATAACTTTGATAATAATGCAAATAACAAATCAGTGATCACATATTCATATATAAATAATGATACATGCATGTGTACTTCAGATTCAAATTTGCTGTATCAAGTCATGTCTGGTTTGAATCAAAGTAGAGAAAAAAGGTCCAAGGAAGTCAAGAGAATAGATAAAGCATTAAAAAAAAAAAAATTAAGAATATAAGGCAGACCTTTGCATTTGGAATAGTGCCATAGAATTGCTATCAAAAACTACAAAGGCAGAAAAGGGACTCCAAAATAAAGACAATGGCAGAATACTTTCTCACTATCAGAAAGTGTTTTAGAAGTGATACAACACAGAGAGTGGTAACCTCAGTTTATATGGAACAGTCAAAGGCATATTAAGTTAAAAAAGTAAGGCATATTAAGTTAAAAAAGTAAGGCATAAAAAAAAAGTAAGGCATTTATTGTATGATATCACTTGTGTGTGTATGCATACATATGTTTAAAGAAGGGAGAGTATGACATATACAAACTTTGTGGTTAAATATTTACAGACTTTTTCCCAAAGAATAATTAAGAAACTCATATCTTATGGAAAGAAACCAAGAAACAGGTGTGGGAAGAAAATATTATATACCCTTGAATTCAATTTCAATTTTTCAATGTTTTTTTAAAGACCTAAGTTTAAAATGACCCTGCTAACAGTAATTGGGACATGGTACTTAATCTCCCTGGGGCCTTGGTTTCCTAAGTTGAATATTATTTTTACAAATAAAGGAACAGATGAAAGCACGTTGAAAGAATTTAAGGTAACCAATAAAATACCTATATCTATCTTACTATTATTCTTTTTTTATAACATATATATTGCAGGGGAGAGGAAATAGGCAAGTGTGATTTACAAAGCTTCTTTCTCATATAAATTTAAGTTCCAGAAAACCTACCAGTTCCATGGAATGTTGTACCAACAACACGAACACAACTTGGTACTCGAAGATCCCAGAATCTAACAGTCTTATCTTGAGAACCAGATGCAATCATCCAGCCACTCCAGGTATAAAGTGCTAAAATATGTCCTATAAAAGATCATATACTCAGTTATTACTACAGAACAGTGCTTTTCTATAACACATTCAAAGCTAAGTACTCCTTATTATTGAGTATATGACTGTCTGGTTAGTCAAATAACTACACAGCTATTTGGTAGAGATCTTCCACATATATGGAATATACTGGCAGTTTTCAAGAAATTAAAATTCAGAGAAACGCACAACATCAAATCCATACTGAACAAACTTAACCTTTTTTGGTGACTTAGTATTTCAGGATATTATAATTAGTGCTGGAAAAAATTACACTGAAATTCTGGCAAAGTTTCCATAAAGGAAGCACCATATAGTGGGGTACGATCACCAGCTTTGGAAGAGACAGACCTGATATCATGTCTCAGTTATGCTATATTTAGCTGTAAGATATCAGGCAAACCTTTTTTCCTTTTCAAGTTTAGCTTTTGTCATGTAAAGGATGGAGATAAAACTTCCTTCTGCATAAATTTGTTGTGAGGATTAAATTTTTTGTTGAAGTAAAGGATTTAGCACACAGGGAAATGTTAGCTACTGTCACTGTGTTGTTGTCCAATGTTCACAATACAAATTCTTGAAATAAAAAAATGTTCTGTCTTGCAGAAATACCTTTTGATGAAATATATCCCATTAATGAAAGTGCAGAGGGGGAAATGCATGGGTTGCACAAAAAGAACAATAGCATCAGAGAGGGTATATCACATACCGGTATGTCCACTCAGCGCGTGCAGGCCCTGTCCTCTTTGACAATCAGTGGTATAAATATTACAGTCCCCTGCTCCAGCACTTATCAAAATAGCTCCACCACTTTCTGGGCCTTCCATAAATGCCAAGTCTCTAATTGTCCCATCATGCATACTAAATTCCAGATCTGGTCCTGAAACATCAATAAGAATTAAAAAAAAAAAAAGATGCTGCTCAACTTACCTTAATCATTTGCTAAACTGCCTCTAAACTGACCAAGAACAATGGTAGAGTGGCATGGTTTATACTGTCATTTAGGGACTGATATTATATTCAATTTCACCTTATTGAGCAAAGAATTTCAAGAGATTAAAATAGCTGATTCAGTTATCATCATCCCCAAAACAGAGCTATATGTAGAGTTGCCCTCTTGTATTTTATCCCAAAGAAAATCAAAGAGAAGACAGATACTTTCTATAAAATATTCATTAATACAATTATTAGAAAAATGACTTCAATAACTACCGTAACAACAATTTTCTAAGGATTAGACATGACATGGCAGCCACCTGTAAGAATTTACTAAAAAAGAATAATGCCTCATGAATGCAATTCAGTAAGTAGAATGTGAAAAAATTCTTCTTAAGGCTATTCTTAGATTTTATTTAAAACAATAGAGATACATCAGAGATACGACATGGGGAAAACATACAGAATACATTAGTAAATTACTGTTTCCATACTCAGGCCCTACCTGTTGCATTACAGGTCTCTGCATTGAACGGCAGGACTTTGACATATTTGTCATTTGATCCTGTTGCTAGTAACTGTCCACAAGGACTCCAGGCCACACAGTAAATGGATCCTTTATGATGTTTATTCCTTTTGAAACGTACCACTGGTTGCTTAGGGATGTCATGTGCACTAAAAAGAAATATTACAGAAAGAGATTTTAGTTTCTTGCCTGCAAAAGTTAATGAATATAAGGTTCTTTATTATAGTTGTTCTTGAGAGACAGAGAAAAAAGAGTATCAGGCAACATGTTAATAACAATTTCCAAAATTTTCAAGAAATAAATTTAAAGCATATTTAAAATCCAGGAGTAAAATTATAAACCATTATTATAATGATCTCTTATTTCAGACCACATAAAGTACAGGATATTTTAAAAGTCTCTATCTCACAAAATTCTCATTAATTTTAACTCATAAACACAAAAGAAAATAAGAGCTAAAAATGCTTCGAAATTTAAGAAGTTCAATAAACATTATTTAAACGTGTAAATATAGCAACTGCCTGGGGCTGAGGGAAGGCAAGAGATAGATAAAAAATAAAGGAGCAAAAGTTCTGTCCAGAGTTTAAAACTCATTTCTCCACATCCTCATCAGCACTTGTTATTTCTTGTCTTTTGGATAGTGGCCATCCTAACTGGTGTGAGATACTTCATTGTGGTTTTAATTTGTATTTCCGTGATGATTAGCGATGTGGAGCATCTTTTCATGTGCCTTTTAGCCATTTGTATTTCTTCTATGGAGAAGTGTCTGTTCAAGTCCTCCACCCATTTTTAAAAATTCATTTTATTATCATTAATCTATAACTACATGAAGAACATTATGGTTACTACATTGCCCCTTCACCACATCCCCCCACACACAAACCCCATTACAGTCACTGTTCACCAGCATAGGAAGATGCTGTAGAATCACTATTTGTCTTCTCTGTGTTGCACATCCCTCCCTATGCCCCCTCCACATTATACATGCTAATCATAAGGCCCCCTTTCTTTTTCCCTGCCCTTATCCCTCCCTTCCCACCCCTCCTGCCCAGTCCCTTTCCATTTGGTAACTGTTAGTCCATTCTTCGGTTCTGTGGTTCTGCTGCTGCTTTGTTCCTTCAGTTTTTCTTTGTTCTTATACTCCACATATGAGTGAAATCATTTGGTACTTGTCTTTCTCTGCCTGGCTTATTTCACTGAGCATAATACCCTCTAGCTCCATCCATGTTGTTGCAAATGATAGGATCTGTTTTTTTCTTATGGCTGAGTAATATTCCATTGTGTATGTGTACCACATCTTCATTATCCATTCATCTACTGATGGACATTTAGGTTGCTTCCATTTCTTGGCTATTGTAAATAGTGCTGCGATAAACATAGGGGTGCATCTGTCTTTTTCAAACTGGGCTGCTGCATTCTTAGGGTAAATTCCTAGAAGTGGAATTCCTGGGTCAAATGGTATTTCTATTTTGAGCTTTTTGAGGAACCTCCATACTGCTTTCCACAATGGTTGAACTAGTTTACATTCCCACCAGCAGTGTAGGAGGGTTCCCCTTTCCCCGCAACCTCACCAGCATTTGTTGTTCTTTGTCTTTTGGATGGTGGCGATCCTTACTGGTGTGAGGTGATATCTCATTGTGGTTTTAATTTGCATTTCTCTGATGACAAGCGATGTGGAGCATCTTTTCATGTGTCTGTTGGCCATATGAATTTCTTCTTTGGAGAACTGTCTGTTCAGCTCCTCTGCCCATTTTTAATTGGATTATTTGCTTTTTGTTTGTTGAGGTGCGTGAGCTCTTTATATATTTTGGATGTCAACCCTTTATCAGATCTGTCGTTTCTGAATATATACTCCCATACTGTAGGATACCTTTTTGTTCTATTGATGGTGTCCTTTGCTGTACAGAAGTTTTTCAGCTTGATATAGTACCACTTGTTCATTTTTGCTTTTGTTTCCCTTGCCCAGGGAGATATGTTCATAAAGAAGTTGCTCATGTTTATGTCCAAGAGATTTTTGCCTATGTATTTTTCTAAGAGTTTTATGGTTTCATGACTTACATTCAGGTCTTTGATCCATTTTGAATTTACTTTTGTCTATGGGGTTAGACAGTGATTCAATTTCATTCTCTTACATGTAGTTGTCCAGTTTTGCCAGCACCATCTGTTGAAGAGACTGTCATTTCCCCATTGTATGTCCATGGCTCCTTTATCATATATTAATTGATCATAAATGTTTGGGTTAATATCTGGGGTCTCTATTCTGTTCCACTGGTCTGTGGCTCTGTTCTTGTGCCAGTACCAAATTGTCTTGATTACTGTGGCTTTGTAGTAGAGCTTGAAGTTGGGGAGCAAGATCCCCTCAACTTTATTCTTCTCAGGATTACTTTGGCTATTCGGGGTCTTTGGTGTTTCCATATGAATTTTTGAACTATTTGTTCTAGTTCGTTGAAGAATGTTGTTGGTAATTTGATAGGGATTGCATCAAATCTGTATATTGCTTTGGGCAGGATGGCCATTTTGACGATATTAATTCTTCCTAGCCAAGAGCATGGGATGAATTTCCATTTGTTAGTGTCCTCTTTAATTTCTCTTAAGAGTGTCTTATAGTTTTCAGGGTATAGGTCTTTCACTTCCTTGGTAAGGTTTATTCCTAAGTATTTTATTCTTTTTGATGCAATTGTGAATGGAATCCATTTCTTCTAGGTTTTCCAGCTTCTTAGCATATAGGTTTTCATAGCAGTCTCTAATAATTCTTTGTATTTCTTTTGGGTCTGTCATGATGATTCCTTTCTCATTTCTGATTCTGTTGATGTGTGTTGATTCTCTTTTTTATCTTAGTAAGTCTGGCTAGAGGCTTATCTATTTTGTTTATTTTCTCAAAGAACCAGCTCTTGGTTTCATTGATTCTTTCTATTGTTTTATTTTTCTCAATTTTATTTATTTCTTCTCTGATCTTTATTATGTCTCTCCTTCTGCTGACTTTAGGCCTCATTTGTTCTTCTTTTTCCAATTTTGACAATTGTGATGTTAGACTATTCATTTGGGTTTGTTCTTCTTTCTTTAAATATGCCTGGATTGCTATTTACTTTCCTCTTAAGACTGCTTTCGCTGCAGCCCACAGAAGTTGGGGCTTTGTGTTGTTGTTGTCATTTATTTCCATATATTGCTCGATCTCCATTTAATTTGGTCGTTGATCTACTGACTATTTAGGAGCGTATTGTTAAGCCTCCATGTGTTTGTGAGCCTTTTTGCTTTCTTTGTACAATTTATTTCTAGTTTTATACCTTTGTGGTCTGAAAAGTTGGTTGGTAGAATTTCAATCTTTTGGAATTTACTGAGGCTCTTTTTGTGGCCTAGTATGTGGTCTCTTCTGGAGAATGTTCCACGTGCACTTGAGAAGAATGTGTATCCTGTGGCTTTTGGATGTAGAGTTCTATAGATGTCTATTAGGTCCATCTGTTTTAGTGTGTTGTTCAGTGCCTCTGTGTCCTTATTTATTTTCTGTCTGGTGAATCTGTCCTTTGCAGCGAATGGTGTGTTGAAGTCTCCTAAAATTAATGCATTGCATTCTATTTCCTTCTTTAGTTCTGTTAGTATTTGTTCCACATATGCTGGTGCTCCTGTGTTGGGTGCATATATATTTAGAATGGTTATATCCTCTTGTTGGACTGAGCCCTTTGGGGATAGTTAATTTAATTTTACATTGGCTTCATAATTAGCTGTTCTACTTTCTTTACCGTGATTTTATTACCTCTGGTGACAGCTATTCAACCTTAGGAACACTTCCATCTATAGGAGTCCCTCCAAAATAGACTGTAGAGATGGTTTGTGGGAGGTAAATTCTCTTAGCTTCTGCTTATCTGGAAATTGTTTAATCCCTCCTTCAAACTTAAATGATAATCTTGCCAGATAAAGTAATCTTGTTTCCAGGCCCTTCTGCTTCATGGCATTAAATACATCATGCCACTCCCTTCTGGCCTGTAAGTTTTCTGCTGAGAAGTCTGGTGTTTGCCTGATGGGCTTTCCTTTGTATGTGATCTTATTTGTCTCTCTGGCTGCTTTTAGCAGTCTGTCCTTATCCTTGATCTTTCCCATTTTAATTACTATGTGTCTTGGTGTTGTCTTCCTTGGGTCCCTTGTGTTGGGAGATCTGTGGATCTCCTTGGCCTGAGAGACTATGTCCTTCCCCAGATTGGGGAAGTTTTCAGCAACTACCTCCTCAAAGACACTTTCTATCCCTTTCTCTCTCTCTTCTTCTTCTGGTATCCCTATAATGCAAATATTGTTCTGCTTGGATTGGTCACACAGTTCTCTCAATATTCTTTCATTCTTAGAGATCCTTTTTTCTCTCTGTGCCTCAGCTTCTTTGTATTCCTCTTCTCTAGTTTCTATTTCATTTATTGTCTCCTCCACCGTATCCAACCTACTTTAATACGCTCCATCGTGCTCTTCACTGATTGGATCTCCGACCTGAATTCATTCCTGAGTTCCTGGTTGTCTTTCCGTACCTCCACTAGAATGTTGATGATTTTTATTTTCAACTCCCTTTCAGGAAGACTCAAGAGGTCCATATCATTTAAATCTTTCTCGGGAGTTGTATTAAGAATTTTACTCTGGACAAGGTTCTTTTGGCGATTCATGTTTGTATATGGCGCCCTCTAGTGTCCAGAAGCTCTACTCTGGAGCTGCTCAGCCCCTGAAGCAATGTCAGGGTCGCAGGGCAGCGGTATTGGTGCCTGGTGAGAGGAAAGGGCTGTTCCCCACTTCCCGGCTGCTGTGCCTGTCTCCACTGCCTGAGCCAGTGGGCAGAGCACACAGGTATAAGTTTTTTTCCCAGAGCAGCCGGATATGGATCCCTGCTTTCCACAAACGGCCGGAATCCCAGTCTCCCCAGGAACTCTGCCTGTATTAACTTTCCAACCCAATAGTCATGCGAGTCTCATGAAAGCACCATGAAATGTAGGTCTGTGCTCCCAGAGAAGATCTCTGGAGCTAGGTATTCAGCAGTCCCAAGCCTTCCACTCCCTCCCTGCTCCATTTCATTTCCTCCCGCTGGTGAGCTGGGGTGGGGGAAGGGCTCGGGTCCTGCAGAGCCACAGCTCTGGTACTGGTACCCTGTTTGGTGAGGTCTGCTCTTTTCTCCAGGTGTGTGCAGTCTGACGCCAACCTCTTTCCTGTTGCTCTCTCAGGATTAGTTGCACCAACTATATTTTCTAATTGCATCCAGTTTTAGGAGGAAGCCTCTGTCTCTCCTCTCATGCCGCCATCTTTAATCCAATCATCCTCCACCCATTTTTGAATCAGGTTATTTGCTTTTTGGGTGTTGAGGCTTATAAGTTCTTCATATATTTTGGATCTTAACCCCTATCAGATGAGTCATTTATGAATATATTCTCCCACACTATAGGGTGTCTTTTTGTTCTGCCAATGGTGTACAGAAGCTTTTTAGTTTGATGTATCCCACTTGTTCATTTTTTATTTTGTTTCCCTTGCCCGAGGAAATGTGTCCATGAAAAAGTTGCTCATGCTTATATTCAAGAGATTTTTGCCTATGTCTTCTTCCAAGAATTTTATGGTTTCATGACTTACATTCAGGTCTTTGATCCATTTCAAGTTTACTTTTATGTATGAAATTAGACAATAATCCAGTTTTATTCTCTTACATGTAGCTATCCAGTTTTGCCAACACCAGTTGTTGAAGAGGCTGTCTTTTCTCCATTGTATATTCATGGCTCCTTTATCGTATATTAATTGACCATATATGCATGGGTTTATATCTGGGCTCTCTATTCTGTTCCATTGATCTATAGGTCTGTTCTTGTGCCAGTACCAAATTGTTTTGATTACTGTGGTTTTGTTGTACAGCTTGAAGTCAAGGAAGAGTAATCCCCCCAGCTTCATGGTTCTTTCTCAGAATTGCTTTGGCTATTCTGGGTAGTTTGTGGTTCCATATGAATTTTAGAACTATTTGTTCTAGTTCATTGAAGAATGCTGTTGGTGTTTTTGATAGGGATTGCACTGAATCTGTAGATTGCATTAGGCAGGATGGCCATTTTGACAATATTAACTCCCTATCCATGAGCACAGGATAGATTTCGATTTATTGGTGTCTACTTTAATTTCTCTCATGAGTATCTTGTAATTTTCAGAGTTTAGGTCTTTCACCTCCTTGGTTAGGTTTACTCCTAGGTATTTTATTCTTTTTGATGAAATTATAAATTGAGTTGTTTTCCTAATTTCTCTTTCTGCTAGTTTGTTGTTAGTATACAGGAATGAGACAGAGTTCTTTGTATTAATTTCATATTCTGCAACTTTGCTGAATTCAGTTATTAATTCTAATAGTTTTTTGGTGGAGTCTTTTAGGGTTTTCTATGTATAATACCATGTTGCCTGCAAATAGTGACAATTTAATTTCTTCTTTACCAATTTGGATGCCTTTTATCTCTTTGTGTTGTCTGACTGCTGTGGCTAGGACCTCCAGTATTGTGTTGAATAAAAGTGGGGAGAGTGAGCATCCTTGTCTTGCTCCTGATCTTAGGGGAAAAGCTTTCAGCTTTTTACTATTAAGTATGATGTTGGCTGTGGGGTTTGTCATATATGGCCTTTATTATGTTGAAATACATACCCTCTATACCCATTTTGTTGAGAGTTTTTATCATGAATGGATGTTGAATTCCGTCAAATGCTTTTTCAGCATCTACTGAGGTACTAAGGTGATTTTTGTCCTTTTTTGTTAATGTGATGGATGGTATTGATTGATTTACGAATATTATACCATCCTTGCATTAGGATAGGGAAATTTCTTACAGAAAAAAATGAAAGCAGGATAATAGCCACCGTTAAAATAAAAAAGGCAAGTAAAGTGCTAGTATGTGAAGCATGATAAGGAGTCCATGGAGTTAGAGTGGAGAAGCCCAGGGCATTCTGAAGACTGTAGGATGGATATGGTGGTAGAAGAGCTGTAGGCACGGATGTGGAAGATCCTAAATGCAATGCTTCCTCAAGAGTCTGGCATTTAATCAAAGTCAAACATTGGTTCAGTGGATAGTAGCATCTTATCTGCCCTTGAAAACTCATACTTCAGGATACTAAAGACTTTATGTTAGGTATAATGATAACACCAAGTCTAATGTAAAAAAATGTCTAAAAGATGAAATAATATATCTAGGATTTACATTAAAATACTTTAGCAAACCAAGAAAAAGGATGAAGCAAATATCTCAAAAATCTTAATTATAGCATATCAGTGTCCTATTCTCTAGTTCTGTATATGCTTGAAAACGTTCATACTTAAGAAATTTTAAAAAAATAAGAAAGGAGATTGATAAATCTCCATTATCTAGAAGGTACTTAATATTGATCTAGAAAATAAATCAGATCAAAAGATTCTCTTTTCAGTTGCACAGCCATTCATCGCCAGGTACTATTAATTCTTTCTTTAAATAGACTTTAGCTCCATCCCTTTTGCTCCATCTCCACTATCATCACACTAGCCATCAAAGAGGGTTTCTCCTTAGCATCCACACTTACTGCCATATGATTCACAGCCAGAATGACCATCTCAAAATAGATGTAGATCACAATACTGCTCTACTCAAAACTCAAAACTGGCTTCCTACTGCACCCAGGATAAAATCCAAAATGGCTACAAATGGCATAATTTAGTTCATGAATATCTCTGTATATACATCATCACACTCCAGCTCCCAATACTCCAGCAATCTAAACTTAATATGGTTCCTCAAAGAGCCAAGCTCTTTTTCACTTGGTGGTATTCCCTGTATTTACTATCTTCTCCCTTCTCTTCACATGGCTGGTTCCACTTATCCTCAGAGCTCAGCTTTAATACCACTTCCTCAAAGAGGCCTTTCTCTGACTCCCCAGTCCCTTTATCTCCCCATTTTACTCTGTTACAACTCCTTGTACATTTTCTTCACAACACCTATCACAGTGTATAATATATTTATTTGTGTAGCTCTTTGCATAATGTCCATCTTCCTCATTAAACTAGAGGTTCCATGGTCAATGAACATGTTATGTTCATTTTACTCACAGCTATCCCCAAAGCCTAGAATAGTACCCAGCACATAGAAGGAGTTCAAAATGTTAAATAAATTCATAAAAGTCAGTTGTCTTCATGAAGGGTTTATGAACTATCTGTGACAGTTTAAGAAATGCAAAAAAGGAGACACAGTTAACCTAAGTTCAGGATAACCCTAAATATACAAGTCTGGCTCTGCCCCCGTAACTACTGCTGTTTTCCGCTCCCTGATCTGGAACTCTGCCTCTTCTCTCATGCACTGTTACTCAACTAACAATTGGCACTAATAAATTGCATTACGATCATCTAACACAAGTCCTATTCCATTTCCCAACCTTTAAACGCTACTGCAGTCCAAAAACGTAAATTTCTGGCTTCAGATACAGAGATACCAGCTCCCCAAAAGCAAATAAATAAATAATCTCACCCCTTTGTTCTCCTAACTTGGGTTATAATAAAAAGTCCTTGGAGGTAAGAAAAAAAAATATCCAAATGTACTATGTACTATGACATATATTCCTTTAATATTTAAATTTTAAAGATTTGTAGCTCATTTTGTAAGGGTGTTTTTGTCTACTGGCATGAAAACTATTCCATTCATGGCATTCATTTCTCTAATAACTAAACCTACCAAACAGCTCATGATCTTTATTATGCCAATCTATTTTGATAGTAAAAGCCTTAACAAATAAATTGAGAAAAAAAGTATCTAATCAAAGAGTAAAGAGTTCAAATTCAGTTTTGTGAGGTTATAGCTAAACTATTTGCTTTCTTAGTAACTTCAAAGAATTAGTTGTATGCCTATAATGCCTATTTTTAGTGACATATGCCTTTAAAGATAAATGCCTTATTTTCAAATCCCTTAATCTGTTAAAATAAGAAGGCAATAAATGTAGACCAAATGAAAAGGGAATTTTTGTTGGTCAAAATGGTAAAATAGCAGCAATTTCAGAAAGCTCAACTTTATAGTTCTTTGAAGCTATTACTATAAGAAAGTTTTTATTTCCTCAAAGTCTTCAACTAGTATACTTTACCTTATGTAATTTAATTGGAATATAAGGATATTGCAGATAAAAAAATGCAAAAGCCATGAAAATAAAGAAAACCCAAGTCTTCCTTATTTGAACAATAATGGTCTAATTGAAATGAACTCACTTGAACAATGGCCTAATTGAAAACATTTCATGAAAAAAAACTTAGTTTATCAATTATTCTTATGTTTATTTCCTAAGCATTGAAAATAAAAATTTTTACATTTAAAAGAAAAGGAAATAAAAATTGAACACTACTGAATGGCAATCCTAAAAAAAGAGACTCATAGCTAAATTAAAAATTAAAGTGAGAATGGCTATACAAACCATCTCTCCTTACCTTGGATCAATTACTTCTGGATAAGCACATACTCTCAGAGTTTTCGAATTTGAACCGACAGCATATAAACCACCACCTGGATGAAAAGCCACTGCTCTAACAGCTTGTGTGTCTTCTAGGGTGTTAATACAAACAAACTGCTTTTTTGATTTATCATCCTATGAAAGGAATGAATATGAAAGTCATCCTAGGAAAAATATGAATTCAAAAGAATTCATGTTTACCCCACTTTAAATTCATTTGAATTGTATTATTCACTTCACCTCTTTATGTTCACCTCCTATAATCATATATTCTTTTAAATAGCAAATCCAAATAAACCCCAATTTTTCTATTTTTTGCTAATCATTGCTAAACTAAGCTCAGATAACTCATAGACAATCAAGTTTTTCTTTGATTACTATAACAAAATATAAGAATATGCATTTTCATATGAAGTTATCTTTAACTGTCAAGGAAAAAAGCCCAATATATATAATTCTTAGAAAAACAACAAAATATTATTTGTGTTCCTAAAAGTAGAAACTATAAAGGACTATTACTTAATCCACTTAGGGTTAAAAAAAATTTTTACCATTATCTCCAGCAATGAATACTTTAATATTTCAAACTAAAACCTTTTAAAACTGTAAAAAATGATTTTAATCAGAACATTTAATTTGAGCCTCATTTATTATTTTAAACTGTTAACCTGTCTGCCCACAATGCTCTTCTGAGGAAGGCAAGTTGAGACAGTTCTGGATAAAAGCTTTGCTGACTCCTGCTACTGGTATCATTTGAAACTACCCTGCTGCCCTGACCAGCAACGACTGGATGTGGAACAGGGACTTCCGGATTGGGTGTGGTTAGCAGACAACCAAATCACGTCTTTGGTTAGTATGAATGTTCAAGTACACACACAAAGGCAAATCACTTCAGCTCTGGCTGTTTCCTGAGAGCTCTAAGATCCACAGTGACTGTATCAATGAACAGATTATGCCTCTCCCTACCCACTGAATACTTTAATGTATTCGTGCAATGTATCTTCATAAGGGAGTAACAGGCAACCCTAATACATCACAGTGTGTTTGTCTTATGTAACCAAATTCTTATATTATTCATATGAATTTATTTGACTAGAAATGCCACATTTTCCATTAATCCATATATAAGAAATTTGACTGTTTGTCAATGATAATAATCCTGCTTTATAGCAGAAGTGGCAGACCGACAAATTAATTTCATTTGCTTTTTCCAATGTGTTTAAACTTTTTTTTAATTTGTTGGAATTTTAAAAATAGATATCACATAAAAATCTACATTTCTAGCTTTTCTTGAAAATCAAAAGAACCAGAAACATTACACAAGCATATTTCTTTGTGCAAGGGACAAATACTCCCATGTGCCTACCACAAAAACAGTCAACTTTATTTAGTTATGTTACCTGTTTGGCCCCATGAGCAATGGAAATGATGACTTTGTTTATGAGATTAAAACCTGAACTTGAGAGAATAAGATACAGTGAAGCTGTATACTGTTTAGGGAAGGATGTCTGGTTCCAAAGCAAAAAACAGATGCACTCAATTAGCACATATAATGTGTGTGTGTGGGGGGGGGGGGACGGGACAGGAAGGCAGTATAGCACAGATAAACAAGCAGTGATTCTATAGCATCTTACTATGCTGATGGACAGTGACTATAATGGGATATGTGGTAGGGACTTGATAATGGGGGGAATCTAGTAACCACAATGTTGCTCATGTAATTGTATATTAATGATACCAAAATAATTTAAAAAAAAACAGAGGCACTAATGAGAAGTCCAAAGGAGATAGACTAATATTTGAATAAATTAACCATAGAGTTCAAAGAAACATACACAGCCCAAGTCATGTGCCAGCATTACCACTGGGCCATTAATATGAATTCTCAGGTGTGCTTTCTGAGGCACCCTCTTCATTTAGTCCAGTGAAATCTCAACTACCTTAAGACAAATACCAGCATTAACAATAATAGTTATTTATAAAAAAAAATGATTCCTTCTTTGAACCGAGAATTCCTGAGCAAAATCTGCAAGCATATATAAAAAAAAATGAAACTGCCATCTGCAAAGTATTACCTCTTCTCCTCTTGACCTTGATAGATTCCCTGAAGAATCTCCAAGAGCTGACTTAATGACAGAATGTTCTGATGAGCTGTGTGAATAGAAATCCAAATAAAGTTTACTCTGAATATGAAAACAGAAACTAAACTGATCCTTTCAATATTTAATATTAATTTATTTTTGGCAAATGACCCTCACTGACCCGAGTCAAAGTTACTCTCTGTGGAGCCATTTATTACAAGGCTCTGGACTCAGTAACACCAAGTACAGTTAATTGTAAGGAGGGAGTGAGAAACCATTCTGAAAAGGAGATTAAGACAAAGTCCACAGTTTTATAATGAGATGTCAAGAATCTTTCCTCTGCTTAGTTCCAGAATCCTGGTTGCTATACTTTAATTCTACCATAGGCAAGAACTTGGATTACTCTTTAGGAAAATTATCTGGCCCAAGAGAAAAGACTAACAGAGATAGACAGTTGAGGGTCCTACAACAAAAATGTTTCCACTTAATCACTTCTTTGTGAGGCCAAGAGGTAGATAGATCCATCCATATATGCAGCCCTTCCTTCCAGTTTTTTTTTTTAATAATTCACTCTAAAAAGATAGAGATTTCCAGATACTTGAAGAAAGCCTCTTAGATAAAAGCCAGAGACTAAAGAAACAGAAAAAGGAATTTGGAAGAAGACAGGCAACTCAGAATATAAAAGCTACAGAAATATAATTAAAACCCTTAGAGATATAAGAGGAAATAATGAATTCAGGAAACAAGAACAAGATTTTTTTTTTAATTAGAGAATAAGAAAGGCTTAGAGAATAAAAATATGGTAGGAGAAAAAAATCAATAGAAAATGGAAGTGAGGAAACAGCTAAATAAATAAAATTTTTTCAAAGTCCAGAATTTAAGTTTCCAATTTAAAAGGGCTAAGAAGTACCCAGTAGAATGAAGGAAAACAGACCCACTCTGATGTATATTATTACGAAGTTTTAGAACATCAGGGAAGAGAAAATACTAAAAAACTCCAGAGTAGAAAAAGCAGCAAGCCTCATACGAACCTGGTCACAATGGCATCAGATCTCAGTAAGAACACTGAAACACGTAGCAATGCCTCTGCTACATGTTTGAAACTCTGAGGAATGATTTCCATCCTACAACTCTACATACTCAGCTATACTAACAAATCAAATGTGAAATATTTAGACATGCAAGATCTCAAAAAATTTACCTCTGATGTACCCCTTTTCCAGGAAACTACATGAGATCCTGAAAACAAGGGATCCAATACAGATATTTTTATATATTTTTTTAATATATCTGATTTTTTTTACTATAATGACAAGTTTTATGATTTTATAGTTATGCCAAAGCATCTACAAATAGTTTAGTGACAGGTACAAAGAAAATAAAGTATGTGCAACACATACACCAGTACACCAAAAATGAGGCAGTTACTGTCCCCATAAAAACAAAAGGTTGTGTGAAAAGGTATATTACATGACTCAGTTGTGAACAACATTTACATGGAAGTAGTAATGTTAACACTCAATACTGATTTAAATAAAAATTTATATATATTGGTAAGAAGGGGGAAACAGTGTGAAAGTGCTATGGATGAGAGGTATGGCAGCTTAATCTGATTGGAAGTGTATCAATGGATAATAAAAATAGTAATAGAAGCATGTATTCGGAAGTGTAGAGATATATGGCAGAAGAAATAGCTAACTGAGTTTAAAATGGTAGCCTGACAGAAAAAGAAATCATGGATAAAGATGGGTAAGACAAGGGATTGTTTTTATTTTAAGCCTTGAAGTACTATTTGTCTTTTTAAACCATGTATATGTATTACTTTGATAAAAATAAAAATTAAATTTTAACACGAGTTCTAGTTTTGGGGGTACACAAAACTAGTTTTGCAGAAACTATAGTGAAGCAAGTATTAAATAAATTTAAGCTCTTAAACATAAAATTAAAATTTTTGATACTAAACTTATAAAGCGAATTCCTATACGCATCCAAATGCAAAGTTATGCCATTTTTAAATGAACTCAAAGGTGTTTGCTAAAAATAGACAAAGAAAATGCTCCATAACCATTCCTTTGCATATATATTCACACTTGTTTGCTATGACAGCAAGATAAAAAGTATTTCCCTGACTAGTGAAAACATAAATATGCAAGACATCTTCAATTATTCTAACTGCCAAGGCTGCCCAACTGTCTTGCTGCAATCATTCCAACCAGTTATTAAAGATCTTCTTGTGCCTTGAAAGTCTGTGAATTAAAAGATTTGTTGAAATGTACCAACAGCAAGAAAACAGGAAATCAGAGAAAAGATAAAGACTAAAACTCTCTCTGAATAAGGTGACTTATAAAAAGACAGAATTGGGTTGGTGGTGGTGAGAAAGCAAAAAGAAAATAGGAGTCTAAAGACTATTAAGAGACTTAGAAGTTAGTAGGAAACAATGTAAATGAAGGCATATCAGAAAAAAATTTGGTAGGAAATAAGCTCCAAAAACTTTCATTTGTAAAGCTCCAAAGAGACACTCAATTTTCTGTTTCATTAGTAGGAAATTAATTTTTGTAGGTTTTACAAAGTTTTTAGTACTTACATTTGGTTAACACAAGACGATGATTCCTCAAGAAAAGGTATGTGATTTGTTGATCCAGGATTACAAGGTGTGCTTGTATGAATATTTGAAGCATCATGTGTTAATCTCTGACTAGAGTCTTGGGGTGGTGTAGCAAAACTAGTTACAAAAGAATTATTAGACCCATTGCCTTTGCTTCCATTACATTGCTGGTTGAGCACTGATACCTCATTACCAAGGCTATCCATTCCAATATTTAATTCACCAAGCTTTTGAATGGACCTATAAAATAAAACAATATAATTATATTAAATTAAAAACTTAATCATATTCCTAACATACAGAATATTAGAAAGTTGAGAAGATAAATACATGCACATTTAATATATAATCTTTGGCAAGTTTAGTACTAAGAAATTACCATCATCAGCTTAACATATAACCAAGATACTGAAAGAAGATTTAAATTTTCCTATAGTGTATCACTGTAAGGGAGATAAGGAGAATGGGTATCACTGACTTTTTTTTTTTTTGGTATCATTAATATACAATCACATGAGCAACACTCTGGTTACTAGATTTTTCCCCATTATCAAGTCCCCACCACATACCCCATTACAGTCACTGTCCATCAGCATAGTAAGATGCTATAGAGTCACTACTTGTCTTCTCTGTGCTACTGCCTTCCCCGTGCCCCACCCCACTACATTATGTGTGCTAATCATAATGCCCCTTATTCCCCTTATCCATCCCTTCCCACCCATTCTCCCCAGTCCCTTTCCCTTTGGTAACTGTTAGTCCATTCTTGGGTACTGTGGGTCTGCTGCTGTTTTGTTCCTTCAGTTTTTTCTTTGTTCTTATGCTCCACAGATAAGTGAAATCATTTGATACTTATCTTTCTCCACCTGGCTTATTTCATTGAGCATAATACCCTCTTTTTTTAAAATATATTTTTGTTATACTCTTCTTTTTTATATATATACTTGCAGATTTAGCTCCATCCATGTTGTTGCAAATAGTAGGATTTGCTTTTTTCTTATGGCTGAATAATATTCCATTGTATGTACCACATCTTCTCTATCCATTCATCTACTGCAGGACACTTAAGTTGCTTCCATTTCTTGGTTGTTGTAAATAGTGCTGCAATAAACATAGGGGTGCATATGTCTTTTTGAAACTGGGATCCTGTATTCTTAGGGTAAATTCCTAGAAGTGGAATTCCTGGATCAAATGGTATTTCTATTTTTAGTTTTTTGAGGAACCTCCATACTGCTTTCCACAATGGTTGAACTAGTTTACATTCCCACCAGCAGTGTAAGAGGGTTCCCCTTTCTCCACATCCTCGACAGCATTTGTTCTTCCTTGTCTTTCCTATGTTGGCCATGCTAACTGGTGTGAGGTGATATCTCATTGTGGTTTTAATTTGCATTTCCCTGATAATTAGCGATGTGGAGCATTTTTCATGTGCCTGTTGGCAATCTGAATTTCTTCTTTGGAGAATTGTCTGTTCATATCCTCTGCCCATTTTTTAATAGGGTTATTTGCTTCTTGGGTGTTAAGACATGTGAGTTCTTTATATATTTTGGATGTTAACCCCTTGTCGGATGTGTCATTTACAAATATATTCCCCCATACTGTAGGATGTCTTTTTGTACTGTTGATGGTATCCTTTGCTGTACAGAAGCTCTGTAGCATGATGTAGTGCCATTTGTTCATTTTTTATTGTTTCCCTTTCCCAAGGAGATGCATTTAGGAAAAAGTTGCTCATGTTTATAGTCAAGAGATTTTTGCCTATGTTTTCTTCTAAGAGTTTAAGGTTTCATGACTTACAATCAGGTCTTTGATCCATTTTGAGTTTACTTTTGTGTATGGGGTTAGACAATAATCCAGTTTCATTCTCTTGCATGTAGCTGTCCAGTTTTGCCAACATCAGTTGTTGATGAGGCTATCATTTCCACATTGTATATCCATGGCTCCTTTATCATATATTACTTGACCATATATGCTTGGGTTTATATCTGGGCTCTCTAGTCTGTTCCATTAGTCTATGGGTCTGTTCTTGTGCCAGTACCAAATTGTCTTGATTACTTTGGCTTTGTAGTAGAGCTTGAAGTCGGGGAGCATAATTCCCCCTGCTTTATTCTTCCTTCTCAGGATTGCTTTGGCTATTCAGGGTCTTTTGTGGTTCCATATGAATTTTAGAAGTATTTGCTCTAGTTCATTGAAGAATGCTGCTGGTATTTTAATAGGGATTGCATTAAATCTGTAGATTGTTTTAGGCAGGATGGCCATTTTGACAATATTAATTCTTCCTATCCATTAGCATGGGATGTGTTTCCATTTATTGGTATCTTCTTTAATTTCTCTCATGAGTGTCTTGGAGTTTCAGAGTATAGGTCTTTCACCTCCTTGGTTAGGTTTATTCCTAGGTATTTTATTCTTTTTGATGTAATTGTGAATGGGATTGTTTTCCTGATTTCGTTTTCTGCTAGTTCATCGCTAGTGTATAGGAATGCAACAGATTTCTATGTATTAATTTTGTATCCTGCAACTTTGCTGAATTCAGTTATTAGATATAGTAGTTTTGGAGGGTATCACTGATTTTTTTTTTTGAGACTTGTTTTGTGACCTAGTATGTGATATGTCCTGTAGAACATTCCATGTGCACTTGAGAAGAATGTATATTCTGCTGATTTTGGATACAATGTTCTATATATATCCATTAAGTAGATCTGATCTAATGTATCATTCAATGCCAGTGTTTTCTGATTGATTTTCTGTCTGAATGGATGACCTATCCATTGATGTGAGTGTCCCCTACTATTATTGTGTTGCTGTCAATTTCTCCATTTAGGTCTGCTAGTACTTGCTTTATGTATTTAGGTGCTTCTCTGTTGGGTGCATAGATGTTTACAATTGTTATATCCTTGTATCACTGACTTTTTAAAAGCACCTTTTACCAGAAAAACTGGAAAAGAAATCTGTTTTTTTCCAGTATAACTTTGGTTTAATTTTCATTTTAAAACTTAATTTCCCCAAAATTGTCAATAAAAATATCACCAACAAAACAAGCCATTTCATGTCAAATAGGAAATGGATAACTAGTGCAGGCCATGATGGGACAATGTCAAGTGGCATCCTTTTTATGCACATATTCATTCATTCTACAAAGACTATTTGTCAGGCTCTGATTCAGGCACTAGGAAGATAAAACAGGGAGCAAAACAAGTTAGCCTCAGGGAATTTCCCCCTACCACCAATCTCTCTACATCACAGTAGACTGTCCCCTTATGTTGGACTCAGGGCTCCAAAGGGTGCAAAGAGGAAGCTGCAGGGTTGGTTCTCTTACAATTTAGATCCAAAACTGGCCCAGCATCTACCTCTAGCCTAGATTCAGTGAATAGGACTAGATTCAATGTAGAGGACTATACACAGGTTATGATTACCAAGAGGTATTGTGTTCACTGTATATTCTCATTTTCCTACATTAAAAGTGCATGTGGGTGTGTGCATTTGTGTGTGTGTTTAGGGTTTCAAAAGGCTTTAAAAGAGCAGTTCAATATTATTAGAAGAATTGTCAGCCATTACCAAACACTTATCAGTTAAAAATTTTAACTGGGCAGCAGTTCACAAATTGTATTCTATAAAACACTAATCCTGTGAAATGCTCCTCATAAAAAAAAAAAAGAGTCCTAAGTCCTAAGGTCAAATAAATTTGGGAAATGCTAAGTATAAAGAGTCTAAAGTTCTAATATCATCTGACTCTCTGAAAGTGGGGATCTGGGAGAGGGGCAAAGTATGCCTATAATAAATGCCAAATCAGTGGTGCCAATTATTAGTAGTAATAGAAGCAAAATATCAAGAAGCATGAAGTAGTGATACAGTACTGTTAATAAAAATCCTGTTATATATATAAATAATTATATATATATATATATTATATATATATA